CATATTCAGAGTCCAGACATTTTTTCCTGTCTGTTAAGAGAACAACTCTGGTCCTCCATTGTTTTCAACAATCCCTGCTGGCCTTGAAAAGTCCACCACCTTCAACCTTCTTGCCAACATTGCGTTTTCCTTTCCATACCATACCTGGACCATTGAGTCAATAAAACCTTCACTCTTTTGTAGCCTAGGCTAGCCCATAGGGTCATCATTTTATAGCACTGACCAATTGAACTTTCTATAATTATAGGAATAATTTATATCTATATGTCCAACATGGGAGCAACTGGTCACCTGTAACTATGGAATTACTGGACATTGACTAGTGTGATTGAGAAATTAAATTCTGAGCTCTATTTGCTTTAGCTAATTTAAATTCATTTTGAATAGTCATCATGGCAAGTTACAAACTGTCTTCTCCCCTTCTCTCCTCTAGCCCCTGCTGTCTTCTGCACTTCCTTCTCACACTTGCTTCAAGGTCACTCTCCTCTGCAGTGCTGTCCCTGTTCCTGGCTTGATCAGGGAACTTGACACTCATGATCATTATTCTCTGATTGCAGATTATTATCCTTTGATTGCAGCCCTAAGCCTGCTCTTCCTGTCCACACTGACCTTGGACAGTACCTCCTCCCCTCTTCCTGCAGGCTGACCTTTTAAGCCAGGCCATTGAGGCTGACTTCTCTGTGGTTGGACACACAACCTTACTCTGCTGATGTTCTCCATGGTCCTTAACAATTATAACTCCAACTCCTTTCTGCCCACATCACAGACTCCCCTCTGCGGCCCTGATGAGAAGAACCTCAAGTTCATCTTTCAGACATGTGCCCTGCACTGCTAGGACCTCTAGAAACTTCCATGGTTACCAATTAGCATGGGAATGATTTGGGAGAATATAGGCAGCCCTTTGAAAATAAAACAAAGGCAAAATGAAATCCACAGCAACAGGTAGTGAGGAAAGAAGATATAGATCCACTGGGTTGAAAAGGAAGAGAATATTTCCTTTCTTCCTCACTACAAGGATAAGGGATGAACTCAGCAGATTTTTTTTTTTAACTCAGCAGATTTTTAAAAATCCTAGAAAACAAAGCACAAATCAAGGACTTACAGCCAGTGAAAGTCTGTCCTGAAATGTGGGAGGACTGTAGATGATGTTTAGAATTGTATCTCTGGAAAACAGGAACCAAGGAAAGGCTTTTCTTTCCTGTGCTTGTGCTAACCAACAGAGTTGTCTAGCTCAGCATCCATATATGTAGACCAGCCTGATTTTCTGTATAGGCCATTTCTGAATTCTGTTCAAATGTCTAATCAGATAACATAGGGGTAAGCGGTCTCACAATGCTAGTGTTTCCAGGAGTTTGAGGCAAGTGGATATCCAGGTAGATTCAGCTAATTCCAGCAATGCACCAAAGAACTAAAGTCCTAGGAAAGATTTAAGCAAGCCCATCTTCATAGGATGGGAAATAACTTTTCAAGGGCAGCTTTGATGTGCCAAGTGCTTGGCCAGGGTACTAGTAACTGAAGTTGCTTCTGAATGATCATTAACTGTATGAATGAGTGAAAACATGAATGGGGACATTGAGAAGGGCTCAAGGCAGATGCAAAGATGGTGTCATGGCTATCAGCAAGAACTAAATGTACTGAATCACAGCCATAGAGGAGACCCAGCACAAAGAACTAGTGGGGGATACAGGGTATTTGATGGCAAATGAAAAGACATTATAATCTCAACCTTTAAGCCAATGGGCCAGGTCCTATGAAATGCTATTGTTTCCATCTGTGTGGGTTTAATCACATTGGAAGCTTCTTACGTATACATAAGCACACACGCACACAAGCGCATGGGCAGGATATCAGTGGAGTTTTCCTATTGCTGCTATTGCCTGTGTGTGTGAGTGTGTGTGTGTATTTAATAACCTTAATGCCATTGAAAACTTAATATACCTGACTCTCATTCCAGCAGCTTTCAACTCAGGGTTAAATAGAAACTTCAACAAAATCCAGACAGCTTCTGCTAGGGAAATAAGTGTTTATATTCACTACAATAAATAACCCCAACATAAACATACTCTTTTTTTTTGTTATTTTTTATTAATCCTGGATGGTGATGTATCCTCTTCCCAGTACAGAAACAGGGGAATCTGGCTGTTATTTAGTTTGCCTGATTGCTTGTAGGAAGGGGGACAGTGTGGCTTTGAAAAACTATGTTCCTCTGTTTATTAAAGTGTCAATAATGTTCAGTCCAGGCATATCGACAGTGGATTAGCTGGGACTGAGTCTGTGTACAGGACCAGTACCTTTTAAAACCGAGCTTGTTTCCAGATCAATAGAGCCATCAGCATTTGAAAATTAGCCCAAGATGAGATTCCAATACTTAAGGTGGTGGGTCATTGTAAGAGGGCACACAGCCAAGTCACAGATACACGCACCTCGGTGGGGATGAGATATTTTCCATTAGGTTGGACATGAACAGAGATCGGTAGAGCTCCCCCCACCACCACCACCACTGGTACTGCTCTCTGGGAGCCTAGATATGACCTCTGGGCTACAACCCCAGCCATGTGCACTTAATCAAACCTCAAGTCCTGTAAGGCAGTGTCCCTACTGCTGAAGGGCATTTGTGTGGAGGAGGGAAGGGTGGCTTAAAAAAATAACAAAAACTTATATCCCTTAGATTTCAAGAAGAAAACTTAGATTTCAAGGAGGAATCAGTATATTTCACTATTCCTTCCATTTCTAGTTCCATGAGGTTTTACTTTCTAAAGCACATATATTTGATAGTACTTTTGTCACTGTCCAATGCACTCTCTCTACAGTATGTGTATGGAAGTGGGGGGGGGATGTGATGTTTTGGGGGCAATGAGAACATCTTCAAAAGCACCCCTGCTATAAATTGTAGATGATGCCACTGGAGTATCTGACAAACCTCCTCATAAAGTAGTGATTCTCAGATTTTTGGGGGCCAACTATCCACCTGAAAAATATATTTTATATTAAAAAAAAAAAAAAAACTTTCAGAGGCCCTCTCTGGTGGCGCAGCGGGTTAAAGCACAGCACTGAGAAGCTAACACCACTTCAGCATGAGTTTGATCCCTGCCTGCCCTGGAGGTTCAATCCCCAGCCCCGGCGACAGACCTCTCCTGACCCGCCCACTGCTCCTCCCAGCAGTGTACTTCATCCATCTGCCTATTCTGCGCCCCACTCTGTCCCTGGTGAATCCTCTCATGGCCCCTGTACCTCTGGCCTGTACCCCAGTCTGTATCATAAATAAATAAATTAAAAAAAAAACTTGCAGAAGGAAAGAAGGTGAGAATAAATCAGGTATAAAGGGCCAACTGTATGGTGAAAGATAGAATGGGACTTTTAGTGGTGAACTTAATGTAGTTTAGGCACATGTTGATTTATTTATCTCACACCTGCAGCTTACTTATAATGCAACATTACTTCCAAAAATATTTTCAAAAATAGATACACTGAAACAAAAACATTACTTAGCCATACCTCCTCTGATATTTGTAATACACCAAGATTCTCTGCACAATTCTATTTCCTTTAAAAAAATTGTTTGCACTCACCATTTTGAAAAATTTTATAGAACAAATTTGAAAAAAAAAAGCCATCATAACTTCCTCTTGGAAAGAAGAAAAAAGAAAACAATATAAAACATAAAACTTGGTATGACCAAGCTTCACCATAGCATGATGGCTTCAGAGTGAGTGCTGTATCCTTCTCACTCTCAGGGGTCTGCTTCTCATTATTGCTCCCATCTCCCTCTTTACAGGGGACCTCCATGTCCAACTTGCACTTTGTCCTGCCTCTTATCATGAACTTTCCCTTTATTCTGTCAGCCTATTTGAGTGCTTCACACACAGCCCCCGCAGCCCTCTTCCTGTCTTCATTTTCTAAGCAACCATTTGAGGACAACCCGCTTTCCTTGGGCCAGCTACAGTGAAGCACCTGGAGGAAGCCCTGCAGGAGGATTTATTACCCTGGACTAGCCAGTGAGAGCTGGGTGAAGGGAATGGGAATGAAAGAGCAATGGAGGAATCAGAATCCAGCCCTCTAGGACATAAGCTTCTGAGATAATTAAGATGCTTAAAAAGTAACAGTATTTGGAAAATAATAACATGTGTTAGACCCTCTTCCAATTGATTAATACACAGATCATACATGTAAAATTCACTCTTCACCCAGTAATCACAACAATAACCCCACGTTCCAGAAGGAGCTGCTGCAGCATAGTGAGTGACTGGACTGAGCCGGATGTAATTCTGAGCTTTCACTCCCTGATTAGGATTTGACCCACCACGGCTGAGTGTTGTCTGGCGCCTAAGGACCAGTTCTGTTCCTGGCCTGGGTGTTTCCCAGGCCTGAAAAGCAGAGGGAGCAGAATGCAGAGAGAAACCTAGCAGAACAAACACATGACCTCAAAAGCAGGGTGAGGCTGCAGAAAGAGGGTTCAAGTCGGGGTACATCCAAATCACAGATCAGACACAGGAATAGGGGGGTGCTATAGGTAAGAAGCCCTAGGTTTGAAGAGAGGAGAAGCTGCAAGCCAGTTACAGTGGATGTTCCTATGCGCGCTGCATGAAAGGGAGGTGTCCGGAACATCTGTGTGGGCCCTGCCCCCTTCACAGGCAGTGCCAGGGTGGCATATGCGCAGCGCCAGAAAAGCATTCAAGGGCTGGTCTTAAAATAAAACAAGCTTGGAATCGCATGGAACCTAAAAAATCTTAGAGGAGAAAAAAGCCAAGGAAAGCAATAATTAGAAGATAATTTTCTGAGAAAATATATTATTGGAACAAAAGCAAAAAAAAAAAAAATCTCAGTTCTATTCAATGGGAAAATTATTTGAAAATTCAGCTTCTGATGGCAAAATGACAACTAGGAAGTTTTCCTGACCAGATGGGACAAACAGAAGCCATCTCTGATCAGGACCGATAGTGATATTTCAAGCAGGCCCTCCCCACGAGCTGAGGCCCCGCTCCACCTGCCACGCCCCCTACCTTGCACTATGAGGTGCACCCTCGAGGTCTTGGGGTGGTTGTCCGTCTGCACAGAGCAGGTGTACGGGCCCTCGTCGTACACGTCCACGTTCTGGATCATGATGCTGTACTGGGTTTGGGTGTTGCTCAGGAGGATCACACGGGGGTCCAGGCACCACTTGTCATTCCCGGCGTAGAGAATGGTGCTGCGGTTCAGCCAGGCCACCCGGGTGACTCGGTTGTCAATAGTGCACCTGAGGGAAGAATGGATGCATCAGGCAAGGGGGCAGACAAGAAATGGGGGCTCTCCCTGTGCCGGCGTCAGGGTGTGGCCATGATGATTTGCTACTATGCCTTGTTTCCACCCCTGAACCCCAATGTCCATGCAAATTTCCTTTGTTGGATTTGCCCTAGGGGGGCACTTTCTGGAACTCAGCAACAGAGTTCTTGTGTTTGTTTTGTCTTTGTTTCCTTAATATTTTACTTTTTTAATTTTTAAATTAAAATTTCTACAGAAGAACTGGGGTGTAGGCCAGTTTTAGGAGTTGAGAAGATTCATCAGAGACAGAGTGGGGAGCAAAACAGGCAGACTTACTGAATCACACTGCTGATGGGAGCAACAGGCAAGACGGGTGAGGTCTGCTGTACCATGTGGGTTAGTTCCCTTCAGGGAGGGGTTCTGGGGTGGGGGTTGAAATCAGGCTGTAGCAGTGGTAGTGCTGAGACTTAACCCTAGGCCACCATGGAGGTCTTTTTAGCATTTTAAAAGGACAAATTTATTAGGAAAAGAAGAAAAGAGAGGCAACTTCATAGTCACAGGAGGTCAGGGAGCAGCTAGTCTTATTGGGTCTATATAGCCTCAGAACGCTGGCTGCCCAGACCTCTGGGTCCTGAGAATCTCAGGGCTTCTAAGACCACGTGTGTACAGGCCCACTTCAGATAAATTTCCATTACAGCATTTGGCATGCAGGAAGGTCAAGCCCTGTGATGTGGATGAGGAGGACGTGCACTCATTGTAAGACACTCCTAACAATCCTCCCGGGAAAGGTCTACTGGTAAAGGGGATTGAAGAACAAAAGAGAAATTAAGTAATTCTCCCAAGATATGCAGATAAAACTTGCTAGAGAAGAAACTCAGCTTTTAACTTCTAAACACTATTCTTCCCATCTCAGAATAGTGAATTCTGACAGAAGGCTTCTATAGTCAAAACTAAATATGGACCACCCCCATTTCTATTTAGTATCAGGATACCCAGGGGCAGAGCTGTTCAATTACTGCTAGACTAAAGACATTTTCCAAAACCTTAAACTGTTTGTACATGTAAAAATAGCTTTCCTTTCTTCATGTTTTGCACGCGGAGTCCCCAAATTACAGAAACTCCCTCCTCTTTCTCTATACTTGCAAAATCTCCAGACTCTCTCCCACATCCTAATCACATCTCTGTCTGTACTCATTTCTTCTCTTTCCTACACCAAGCAAGCTCTGTGGCCTTAGGCTAAATTTACAAACACAGTGTCCTGATCCTAACTTTAATACTGGAAATAGCAACACAGCATGGTCTGTATAACAATGCCTGAATTTGGTACATTCCTTTGCAGGATACAAAATGTTTTTTTCATAATCCTGTCTCATTTGATTCTTGTAGCAAGTCTGTGAGATCAATGACTTTACTCACTCCCTATTTAAGATAAGGACTGTAGAAAGTCCCTGGTGACATGGGTGGGTTAAAGTCTCAGCACTTTCAAACTATCACCAGCCACTGCAGCATGAGTTCGATCCCCTGCCAGGGAACTAAAACACCAGCACCAGCAAACCTCTCCTGTCTCACCCGCTGCTCCCCTCAGCAGTGTATTTCCGTAGACCTGCCAGTTCTGCTCCCCACTCTGTTTCTGGTGAATCCTTTCAGACTACCTCCCACACTTCTGACCTGTACCCCAGTTCTTCTATGCATAAGAAAACATCTTTAAAAATAAATAAATAAAAGATCAGGACTGTAGGGTTTGGAATGGCCTGGAGACTGGTTCCAGATTAGAGATGGACTCAGGTCTGTTCAGCCAGGGCATCTAACTCCCAGTCCTGCGTGCTTCTCGGAATATGCGACTCTGGGTTTTTCAGGAGAGAGGGACAAATGACTCCACTGAATTCTCAAAATGGTCTGTGACCATAGAAAGCCAGGAAAGGCTGCTCAGCACCCTGGCTCCCCCAGGTGGTCCCTCTCCAAAGGAGATCGCTAGTATCATCCACCCTTTATGCTTATACTTGTGTAAATGTCACACGATCACTCCCCCGCCCCTCAGACACAGGTGGGGAGTCTTGCTGGTGGCTCCTGTAGGGAAAACTGTTCAACCAGAAATGCCTTTGCTCTGGTGTCCTGTAAAATCTGTGCTGCTTATTGTGATTTCTGGACAACACAGCATGGAAATGATGGAAGATCTAATGAGGGAAAGATCAGTGGAGACTTTCTGGAAGACGGCATGAACCACTTGCATCAGAATCACCTGAGGGGCTTGTTAGAGATTCTAACTCTCATTTCCTGTTTGACTGATTCAGAATATTGGGGAAGCCAGACATACACGTTTCTAAAAATATCTGTTGAAAACTTTGAAAAGTATTGGTATAGAACAGTGTACCCAGGACCACCAACACAATTTGTGTCGTTCAATACAAAATACAAATGCAGAGTATTTTGTCTAAGAATTATGAAGATTTTTCAAGATGGTGAGAACAGAGAATCTCACCACGTGCAGGAACCTGAGTAAATAGATGGGGAACAGACTCTGCTGAGATTATGTGTCTCCGGATCTCCTGGAATGCATATTCTGATGATAGCAGGGCTGAAGGGCGCCTGAGATTCTGCATTATTAATGAGCTCTGTGGTGATGCCAATGCGGATGACCACTAGACCATTCCATAAGTAGCATAAATCCACCGGCACATCAGATCACATTAGGGTCTGAAAAGCATTGAGCTATCACTTCACAATGTGGAATTGTGGTCAGAAAGCCATCATATCAGCACTACTTGGGAGCTGGTTAGAAATGAAGAGTTGGGCCCTCCCTGAGGTTGCTCCCGGGTTAAAACACAGCACTAGGAAGCTGGTCACAGCTGCTTTGGTGCGAGTTCAGTCCCGCCCCAGAGGTAATCCACATGGTGCAGCAGACCTCTCCTGTCTCTCCCACTGCTCCCCTCAGCAGTGTACTCTGTCAATCTGTTCTGCTCCCCACTCTGACTCTGGTGAATCCTCTCGCTGTCCCTGAAACTCTGGCCTGTACCCCAGCTCTGTATACATACAGAAATAAATCTTGAAAAAAAAAAAAAAAAAAAGAGGGCCCTACCTGGTGCAGCGGGTTAAAGCACAGCACTAAGAAACTAAAGCCACTTCACTATGAGTTCGATCCCCACTTCATAGGTGACCACATGTTGTGGCAGGCCTCTCCTGACTGGCCCGCTGCTCCCCTCAGCAATGTACTTCATCAGTTGGCTTGTTCTGCTCCCCAATCTGTCTCTGGTGAATCTTCTCACTGCTCCTGCACCTCTGACCTGTACCCCAGTTCTGTATGCATAAATAAATTAAAAAAAAAAAAAAGAAATGAAGACTCTCAGGCCTGACCTCAGATGTCATGAATTGGAATCTGCATTTTAATAAGATCTCCAGGTAACTGGAATACATGGAGTATTCCATGTATACATGGCCGACTGTATATCAAGACTTCCCATTTGGCTTGATGGCTGTCCACTGAGGGAGTGCCTGGCCTGTCTCCTTCCTTCCTTTGCAGGCATGGTGTTCTCCCTCTCAGGCTGCTTCACCTGAATGGTGGATTTGCAACCAGAAGGTCTTGAAATTCCATAGGAAAACACATTCCACAGCTGGCTTTGCTAGCAACGTAGCCATTGTAATAAACTTAAAGGTGGTCACTGCTTTGACTTGCTTGGATCCAAGCAGAGAAAATGATGAAATTCATATTCATGGCTAATGTTAGTGAGTACTTATTACTATATGCTATGTAATGTGCAAGACTGTTTCAGGCACTACTTCATCATCTCAGCAACTGGATTGGGCTCACCTATTATTGCTGATTTGCAGATGGGGTTAAGTGAAACTAAAATATATTGTCCATATGGCTGAGACCACACTGATATTAAGCTGCAGAACCAAGATCCAGATCCAGTTTACCGCCCTCCATTAAATGTACTTGAATGTCCCATATAGAACTTCCCACATGTCCCTTTAACATTTAAGTTCAACATGCATCAGAGTTACTGGGAAGACCAAATAAAAATACAGATATGGCCCTTGCCTGGTCAAGAAATCAGTCTTCGAGAATCATTAATTTAGATATCTGGAATGAGAGCAGCAGAGTGAGTGGGCACTGGAAATCACTCTTGTTTGAAACAGTTTTCCATTACTTTATAGGAGAGAACTTTCTTGTAACCAATATGTTCTGGGAAGCCAGAAGCAGATTCCTCATTATTTCTTCCCCAGCAGCTGAAATTTGACCAGATACCAGGTGCATGGCCGTGGTGCAGAGAATGCTGATCAGCAGGCTCGACACTGCTTGAATAATTGTTGTGGATGCCCACAATGGGGGCATCTCACAACCTCTTGATGAACATGAGAGGACTGTCCTGGGCTTTCTTCTGAGTGTCTAATTACTGGAAATTGACTGAAACAGACGTAGCCTCACCACGCTGCACTGCACTTATAGGGCCAAAGATATTCATTTACAGATACAGTAGCACTCCAAAACCAGACAATTTCTAGCTCAGTTATGTAGCCCCTGTGATAGACTACACTGAAAAGTTGGCATAGCTTCAGCTGTGGTTTTGGGCACATCCAAGGTCATGTTTAGATGTCCAAACTGTCACTGCCAGGTATCAGTCTTGCTGAGTCTCCACAGCATTAATGCTGGCTTCTGCAGAGATGGATCACAAAGGTAATCTGGCAGCCAGCTCCTGTCACCCTCTCATACCTGCCCCCATCTAACTGTCTCATTTATCGAGTCTCCTCAACAAGGCAAGAGAGGCAATTCTCCTGGGTGTAAAGAAATGTGAAAACAAGCATAACAGCTCTCCAGAAGGGTGGGGACTGTCCCAGCCAAAGTAGATGCCTTGCTGGTGAGTAGTCAATAGGAGATGGTGGTGGGACATTCAGCCAACAGGCAGCATTTTCCAGAGGCAAACTTAACATTGTTCTACAAAAACCAATGTCCAACCACACATGCCCTCCCCTTCAGCAAGGTGGGTCACTATGTGA